CATTTGAACACTTCTCAGTTCTCATCATTGTTGAAGTAAACAGAGGATTTTCCGGTGAAGATGGCGAGTGGAGGATACGGAGACCCGTCGCAGAAAATTGACTACGTCTTCAAGCTTGTGTTGATCGGAGACTCTGGTGTTGGGAAATCTCAGATACTGTCACGGTACGCGAGAAACGAATTCAGCTTGGATTCCAAAGCAACAATCGGCGTCGAATTTCAAACTCGAACACTTGTACTCGACCATAAGAGTGTCAAAGCTCAGATCTGGGACACTGCAGGCCAAGAACGGTAATCTCAAAACTCTCTCTAAAACTTGCTCAAATTCGATTTTAGCTTTTTCATTTGCCTCACCGTTGGATCGGATCCGCCGCTTGTTTCGAACTTAGATCTTGTAGATTCGTAGTCGCCGGATTTTCAAATTCTCTAATAGATCATGTCGATCTTTGTTTTTGAGATTTGAAATTTGTGAATAATTTGGTGGAAGTTGATGTGACTTTTGAGTGAAACGGTGTCGTATAGGTATAGAGCGGTGACGAGTGCGTATTACCGTGGAGCGGTTGGTGCGATGCTGGTTTACGACGTAACTCGGCGTCAGACATTCGACCATATCCCACGGTGGTTAGAGGAATTGCGTGGTCACGCAGACAAGAACATTGTGATTATACTCATCGGTAACAAATCCGATCTTGAAGATCAACGAGCGATCTCGATTGAAGATGCTAAAGAATTCGCGGAGAAAGAAGGTCTTTTCTTCTTGGAGACATCTGCTCTAAACGCAGTCAATGTGGAGACCGCTTTCTCGACTGTTTTGACTGAGATTTTCAACATTGTGAACAAGAAAAACCTTGTTGCTGGAGAAGAACACGGTAATGGCGGCGATCCTGGATCGCTTGCTGGTAAGAAGATCGAGATGGGTCCTGCTCAAGTGGTTCCACCTAAGAATAGCTTGTGTTGTAACTCTTAGAACCAACCAATTCAGTTCACATTTCTCACGCTTTTACTTGTCAAGGGGCCTTTTGTTTTGGGATCTTTAGTGAGAAGTCAAAAGGTTCGCGTGGTATCTTTGATTTGAATTTTGATTTTAAGCAAACATTTTGAGTTAGAATATGAGTTTCAGACTCTTGGTTCTATGCTTATTATGTAGCTACTCCAAATAAATAAGATAATGATGGGAAACAAGTACCAAAAGGTCCAAAACTTTGATAAAATAAAAAGGTTTGACACTACCACAAAGAAGAAAACCGGAAAAAGCATTCAAAATGGTGTTTCCATGTCTTTAGAGCAAACTTAAATACGACCAGAAACAAACTAGGTAGTAAGAAATCTCTGAATCATGCAGTGTGGGTTTAGGCAGCAACAGGCTTAGCAGGAGCAGAAGAGAGTCTAGACCTCTTCTTGGCCAAACTCTCGCTACGGCGATCACGCTGTTCCTTAAGTCTGGAGGCAAGGAGCTTCTGGTAGTCAGCTGCATCAGAGTTGGCCTTGGCCATTCTCTTCTTCTTGTCAGCAATTCTAGCTCTCTTCCTCTGGAGAGTCAATGGAGTCACAAGCCTCTGGATCTTAGGAGCCTTGCTAACCTTCTTGCCTGCAAGAAACACAAGGAAGATCAGATTTAGTGTACTTCAATCAAATTACCAGTTCTTATTAATTCTCAGATGAGTTAAATTTTTCTTACCCTTCTTGTTTGTGAAGGTGCGGCGGTATGTGTTGACATACTTCCTCACATCATCTTCCTTTCCAAGGTTGAACAGCTTGCGGATCTTTGATGCCCTCTTGGGACCTCTCATCCTTGGCTTCTCGGTGTCCGTAAGCCCGGGAAGATCGCTCTCACCCTTCTTCACAATGACCAAGTTAAGGACAGAGAGGTCAGGGCTCACAATGCAACCACGAACAGACTTTCTTCTCCTCTCTCCAGTCCTCCTTCCGTGTCCTCTGAAGCAAGGAGTACCTACTCACAAAAAATAGATCACATAAATCAAAAGAAATGACAGAAACTGATGAAGATGTTACGAGTTGATAAACTAAGAGTCAGTACCTCGGTGAAGCAAAAGGCGAACACGGCCAGGAGTGAGAACTCCCTGTTTCATTGGGAAACCTTGCTTGTCACATCCTCCCATGATCTTGAACACATACCCCTTGAATTCCTGCAAATGGCACAACAACATACAATTACAATAAACATTCTGAAGACCCCACAAGACAAATGGCAACACGAGACGAGTAGAAGAAACATCACCTCGCCAAGAGCATCTCCGCTAACTTCCTGAGAGAGCCTCTTGTCATAAAAAGCACGGCTGTAACAAACATCAAAAATCAATAACCTTACCCAAAGGAATCTCTTTCTCGAGTAGAAGAAGCAGTCATGTTGATTTTGAAGAGTCAGAACTAGATTGTGAATATATGAACACATCGCAGAAAACATCAGATTTCAATACTGCAGCGAACTTGTGTTGAATCAGGCATAAACAATAACTATCCTCCATTTCTAAGTTCGAATCCAATGAATTTCACTAGCTGTAAAGCAGATATTCTACATTTTAAGCAGACTCAGCCAAAATGAAATCAAACAAAGAGCAAATCCACGAATCTATCACGAATCACGAAACCTCTAAGAACGCAATAGACAAACAAGGATCTTACAGCTTCTGGTCGTCATCGATCTCGAGCTTCTTCTGGCATCCAGTAGTCGGATTTGCGATGTTGAACTGCGAC